TCTCCAGGATTTCAAGCAATTTTCTTCAGATCTGCCAAATAGGAGTGGCCCAACTATTAAGCAAAGAAAGGAAACTACCTCAAGCAACATATGCTGGGGCTCACTGCAACTGCACCACAGCTGATCTTAGGGCATCTCTAACTCTTTCCCTTGGCTGGAAGGTAGAAAACAGATGCCTTACAACCAAACCTGGACCCTCAAGCTATTCTGCTGCTTCAAGTGAAATGATGAATGCTGTCACAATACTCATGTTGAACTGAGTTAAAGTCCAATCCTTTCCATTTGTATCTGGTTCTTGGAAGGGAGGAAGAACTATCTTCACATTGAGAAGCATAATATGCATTTATTGTACCTTTGACTGGACCTACAAGCTGGACCAAGCTGGTACCAAACTGAGAACATCTTGACAGCCATATATCAGATACATAGGTTTTTAACCTCATACTTTTATGCCAAGTCCTTGGCCAAGTGACATGTGTGATTACCAAATCAAAACTGTACATGCCTATAACAGAGGAAAAGTGAATAAGAATTGACACATCAGACAATCCATGTCTAATAAAATTTAAGAAGACAGGGAGCAGTCTTATATTATGTCAAACTGTTGATCCCTTTAGTTGGAGTATCAAAGAAAAGAATTTCCAGATCCTAACTGGAGATACTAAGGTTTAACTAGGATCTTCTACCTGTTGAATAAATCCTCTGCAAATGAACAAACAGAAGTGACCCATCTAGAAAAAAATGTTTTCTTGTGAAAGTTAACACTGGGCCAAAATTTCTCAATTCCCCTCTGTCCCATTCAGTTTGATAATACAGAGAAATGTTTTGGTACATGGCAGAGTTCCCTGTTTAAATTTGATTGTGCTGTCAGCAAATAATCACAATTTTTGTGAGAACTCAGAATGCTTTGGACTGATACTATACCCAGATGCATTTAGAGAAAGGAAAAATTACAACTACAAGCTAGTGGTAGATTTAGGGATTTTTTTTTAACACTGTCTACCCAGCATTCTTTAAGTTCTAATTAAAAGGGGCCTATTCTACCTATTAATGTTAATCTCCTGCCACAAAGGTTTTAAACCCTCCTGCCACAAAGGCTTAACATACATTATTTTTTAAAATTCCTTTCCCAACTTTTCACACACGCATGCTTTCAAGTCAGTGTTGACTCCTGGCAATTGCCTGGATAAGTCCCTGCAGTTTTCTTGGCAAGATTTTCAGAAGTGGTTTGTCATTGCCTCCTTCCTAGGGCTAAGAGTGACTGGCCCAAGGTCACCCTGCTGGCTTTGTGCCTAAGGCAGGACTAGAACCCACAGTCTCCTGCTTTCTAGCCTGGTGCTTTAACCACTATACCAAACTAGTTCTTACTTAAACACTGATGACAGGATAATGTCCTCCTCTAGTCCTAAGGTAGTAAGGTAGCTTTAAAAGCCCAGCACAGATTGGATAGCATGGCATGTACAATACTGTCTTCCATATCATCCAGCACTCTATGAGATTGCTGAAAGAATATTGCTGTCAACTCACAGCATCTGCTCTAACAGCCAGTTCTGAGCATAGAGGTTTTTAGAACCTATTGTGGCCTGGCAGGGTACATTTTACCCTGATTGATTATGTACATTTCCCTCCTCTTCATCATATGATTTTTTTAAATTCTTTTTATATTGTACTGTTCTGTGCTGGTCTTTGGCTGTAATAAAGTTTAAGTTTCAAAATTATAGAGGTAGTTGTATAAGCACTAAGGGGACTAAGTAATATATAAATCATGGAATTCAGCTATCCAATCTTTTGTAGCTCTACTGAGGTGGAAGAATTTTAACGTGGGATACATTTGCAAAATACTTCTTGTTTTGCTTTTAAGAAGACTGACACCATCTAACATTAACCAGCCTCTTGCATTTATGGTTCCAGAACAAACCGATAAAAATTAAGTCACGATATGAAGGAAGAAGATTTAAGCTTCGTACTTTTCACATCAAAGTTCTCTCTCTTGTTCATCCTTTGCATTAAGGCTGTTCCTTCCTGTCTGCATAACTTGTAAACAAAATTGCATGCTATTGGTTTTCACTGAGACTCTTGAGACAGTGCTGTCAAGGCTTAAACGTGGTCAGGGCACACCGTGAACAATCATCTGGATAAGCCTTGAAACTCTCAAATGAACAAAAGTAGATCTCAGATCTCAGTTCTAAAGTGTCAGAGCTAACGTATTCTTCCAGAAGAGAAGAAAAGGAGGTTAAGAGCTGTAGAACAGATCTTCTCAAGGTAATAAAAGTATAATTTGAAAAGGAAAAAAAAATCCTGAAAACTAATTTGTTGACATTTCCTATCACTGGGTCATGAGTACCTGTGTGTTTACATCTATCAGAACACATCATGCTCTGACAGTAGAAAATGGGTGGTTAAGTACTAGTGCTATTGCTAAGCAATGGTATAGCCAATAATCTAGTGGGGGGGAAATCAATATAGCTATTATCAACTGTTGACAACCGCTTGGAAAAGCAATAATTGCCTTTAAAATCTTTTGTGAGAGTCCCAGTGATCAGCCAGTTTGTTAACTTGTTTCTAAGCAAGCTCATCATAAAAATGCCACACACACACAAATTGGACTTGATGAGACTGCTCTAGCTAATCTTTGGTTTTCAGCAAAGGGCTTGTTTCTTACTGGGAGAGTACTGTGACCCAGTGCTAAGAATTCTCTGGGATTTGCAGAAAAGAAAAAAAAAAAAAGGAATGAGTATAGTTCTCATTACCTATGTATGTTTGCTTATTTGAATATCAAGATTCTCTTATATCCAATTCAGAATTGTTGGGTAATTATTGTATTAATTTTTATGCATTTAGAATGCATACAGATCAAGAATTGCTGGATGTCTGCTGCAAAGGTTCACAGCCAGATTATTCCTAATGGTTGGGATCAGCCTGGCACCTTTCAGGCACTTTAAGCTGGTGAGGCAATCCTCTCCTTAGGCATGATCTTCCAGTTATTCTGTCTGGACAGCAGAAGAGTTTGGATCTTTCAAATGGGCCTCTTCCTCTGAACCTGCCAGGTCTCCCAGCCAATCACTCCCTTTGAAAGAGGGATCTGGCAGATCACAGGGAACAATCCCTGAGCAGCTGTGTGGTGCAGCAGGAGGGAGACTACCTCTGCGCCACACCATTCTTCCCCCATGTGTCTCCAATTAGTCAGGCTACTTTTAAACACAGGTTTAGCAGTTTTTCAGCTGACAGGAAGTCCAGGAGGTTATTCAGTCAGGTGAAATGGAGCTCTCCTGCTGTACCATATTACTTCCCTGTGTGTTACTTGTTAGCCAAGCTACTTTTAAACATGGGTTTAGCACTCAAAGGAGATCTATATGTTTGGAGACCTGGCAGGACTCATGTCAGCTCCTCCTTCTCCTGTTGCCTTTCCCAGCCCCAGCAATCAGGGGTTGAGAGGTTGTGCAAAGCCTGAGGGACTTTCAAAAGATTGATAAGCCATTTGTCAAAACAGGCCTGCTTCCAGCCCCATCTTAGTTAAGAGTGAGGAGTAAGGTTTTTTTCCCTGTCAGCTGATGGGAGGGGAGAGAGATAATGCTGGGAGAATCCTTTTCTTTAACTTGTCCTGCACAAAGGAAGTAAGAATGACACCCAATGTGTTGGGGGGCAATTAATTATATGTTGGTATAGTTTATTTCAACTAAAAATCTAAGGACATGCAACCAAAGTTATGCCAAAAGAGCAGTGAGGCAGGCAGTCTTTATAAAGCTTCGGCAGTATCTGGGTGATACTGTAATTTATAGCACATCTGGGGAAAAGAAAAGAAAAAAAACCTTAGTGGTGGGCAAGCTATTTTTCCATTTACTGATCTCCTCAGAACCAAATAACATACAATTATTAACTGAATGTCTGTATTGAGTATGCACCCTTTGAAATGCAAACAGCATCCCCTGAAAGAGCCGATCAAAATACTATCCAGGTTCGCAGTAGATGAAATGGTTCATTGAACAGTTTTCTCCCTGATACAGTGCTGAAAGAAATTACTCCCCCCAAGTCATTTTTACATTCAGAGAAATGTTTATCAAGGTCAGAGCAGGCAAAGGAAGAGTTAAAAAAAATCCCTTGCTGTCACCTCAGTAAATATCTCCCCATCCCATCCCAACTGGCTGCTAATTGTATACTTTTAATTTAGATGTTAAATATAAGGACTAGTTTAACATCTAGCTTGTCCTGCATTAAGGAATCCCTAGTTAGCTTCCAAGGAACTCTAGCATTCCCTGAATGCAGATTTTGAATTATAATAATTATTATGTAAAGTTGAAGCAGTAATAATAGCAACAATACAGTAATAAGGAGGTCTTTCATAGAACCTTTCCATCTTAAGGAAAATATGCACACACCCAGAGCAGCTCCTTACATATTTCCTGAAAACTATATGCTTGTTGTCATCTCAAATAGGAGGCCAGAGTGCAATGTCTTTCCAACAGGTGTGGGGCTTCCCTGGTGAGATACAATTGTAAAGGAGAAAACACCTACCGTTCCAACTGCAATGACCTGATCCTCACAAATACTCTCACTTAGTTTTGGGTGGTTGATTTTTGTATGCATAGTGAATAGTTATTAACACAAATGCAGATCATAGATAAGAAAAGGCATTATTATAATGATATATAGGGTCTTGCTGATCATTACATTCTCACTAAATGCAGGGAAACATATGCTTGGGGGGAGGGGGAGGAGGTGAAACTGCTGCTTTTGTAATAGGCCGTGCTATGAATGCAATTACATTTATGACACAGCTTTAATAGACATTTTAATAATGCCTGCTCGTCTATCTCAGCTGTCAACAAAATAGATGTGATAAGTCATTGTTGGGAATTGGGGAAAAATGCTTTCAATATAGCAATGAAAGAAAGAATGTGGATATACAGCCAACATGCTGTCCAGAGTTAGGCTTTAAATGGTTTTACCCTATTATGTCACTTTAGGTCTTTGACTTGAACATTTGTTTGCTGTTTTCCAAGGAGCATAATTCTGAACCCTGCCTATTTTCGCAACCACCTTCGTCAAGCTGCTGTCTTCCGATGCTTAGAGCGATATTCCGAGGCTGCAAGGTAGGTCTGAGATTCATGGGGCAGCTTTCCTGCTTGGAATATCAATTTCCAAGTTTTTTTTTCTTTTTTCTTTTTATCTGTTGCAATCTACAAAAGCTAAAGAAGATGGTTGAAATAGTAATTTCCTCATTGAGACTCAGTGAGCCTCCCACCATCCCAACCTCCTGAGTTCCCCCCCTTCCCCAATATAGTGCCTTTCAGATATTTTGGGCTCCAATTTCCATAATAGGAAGGTTGAAGTAGGAGTCAGTAGTTGGCCAGGGTACATTAACCACGTGGCTTCAAGGCTACCAAGCTCTGGGCCAAGAGTCTGTTAACTTGTGAAGAAGGATAGAAAGAAGAAACAAGCAACTTAAACTACCCAGGATATAAAAGTATTTGCCCTCTCTCACTGCCAGTGGGCAGTCAGTGGCTTTGGATGGCTTTGTTCTTGCCCTCAATAAAGATTCTTATTTAGCTGAGCCATGTCAGTGAGCCTTCTGCCAAGCCTAATCAAGGAACAGAGCTAAACATGTGGGGAAGTGTCAAGAGATCTGTGATATACTGCCAAGTTCCAGTCTGGGAAGCCTGACACATAAGCCCAAAGGAACAGCACCTTTGGCCCTGTTGGGAATGTCTGCTTTACAGTAGTCTACTGTACACACACAAGTAACAAAAGAAATGGAAGCAGGAAATTTTTAATTAACGTAGGAGTTTTACAACATGCCTCAGTTACAGGGGCAATGAGTGCACCATTGGGAGACTTGAAAGAAAAGGTTAGATCAGTGTTGTCCAAACTTGGCCACTTTAAGATGAGTGGACTTTGTGGCTGGCTGGGGAATTCTGGGAGTTGAAGTCCACTCATCTTAAAGTGGCCAAGTTTGGACAACACTGGGTTAGAGATAGATTGTCACAGAGAAAATCTGCGTGGTCTCTAGGAGTCAAAAACAACTTGATGTCACGTCATCCATCAATCAATTTACAGCCACACATACAGGTGGAAGTCAGTGCGGTTTGGGCAATTCTGCATGGCTGTTCCTAGCATTCGGGGGCGGGGTCAGCATTCAGGGAGGGTCAGCAACATGACATCACAGTGTCATCATGCAAGCCCCACCCTTTTCTATCTGCATCCCAACATTGCAGGCATTCCAAATGGGGGGCAGTTTGTGCCCTGACATTGCAAAGCTGCTTTTGCCTTTCTGATGAAAGAAACAAACTGTTGTGGCTGCTGACAATTCTCACACTGAACTAGTTGTGGGAATACGAACTGGCTAGAGGAACATGTAGAACCCCCTATCAGACTTCTCCAGTCTGGAGTTCTTCAGAAAATTTTGGGCTATAACTCTCATTAGCCCCAGACAATCACACTGGGAAAGACTCCTCTGTATTATCCCATTGCTTTTCTTGTTTAACACCTGTACCACCATTCAGACTGAAAATGGTTGGGTTTTTCTTTTCTTTTCTTTTCTTTTCTTTTCTTTTCTTTTCTTTTCTTCCTAAAAGAAAACTAGTTGTCAGCCTTCTAAGGCAACTGAGGAGCAAATCAATTCTATCTTTATATGTAAATAAGGATTAATTGATTAGTTATGTATGAACAAACATTTTACATTATTGCCATCATCATTTGAATAACTGTATCATCATCTTATATACCGTCAATATGTTAAACTATTTAGAGAGCCAGTCTGGTGTAGTGGTTAAGGCATCAGGCTAGAAACCAGGAGACCGTGAGTTCTAGTCCCACTTTAGGCACAAAGCCAGCTGGGTGACCTTGGGCCAGTCACTCTCTCTCAGCCTTTTTCAAAATGAAAAAGTTATAGGAAGCCCAAATCTGATCTATCAATCTAGTTGTGGGCAGAGAGAATCAGAGGCTAGGAAAAACAGAGCCAATTAGGAGCAGGAAGTTCCCCCTCTTACTTGAGATTTTCAAAAAGAGGAAGAAGCAACTTCACTGTCTTTGTTACTTACACCTAGTAGGACGTAGAAGGAGTAGAACATCTCTTTGTGGCTATAAGCAGCACCCCAATCCCTAGAGATCTGTGCTGTGATTAGTGATCTAGGAAATATCTAACAGTTTAGGGACTAGTGGAAGCTAGTTGTGAGTCTGAATTTTGATTTTTTTTTTTTTAATGGAAGATTTTCTGAGTCGCTGTGCCTTTGTTATCCTCTGTTCAATTTCATTCTGCCCTTACTCTGTCCCTCTGTGTGTGCATGTGTGTGTGCGTTCCTCGCTGAAAGAGCAAGTGGCTAAGAAAACTGTTCAGAGCCAGTGACTCTTCCTCTTTCTTCCTGCCCTGTCTGGACTGTCAACTTCTGTTTAGTTCCTTAATCTCAATATACATAATTAAGACTTACTGAATCAGCACCTTCATTCTGAAAGGATTTGAATTTTAGCACATGCACCTTCTCCTGGTCAGTTAAAATGCAGCAAAAAAAAGGCAAGCTAAGGAAGTAGGTTTGCATTTTCCTCCTCCCAAGTAAACGAGTGCCGAAAGGGACTTCCTTTGGAATAAAGTGGATAGGGGCAGCATTGACTAAGTAGGCTTTTCCCCAGGAGTTGTAAAAAGGTGCAAGAGGATTGTGGGTGGAGGATGTTGACATCTCCCTTGTGATCCAGGGAGCTCAGTCCACCACAGCCTTATGTGTAAATGTGCAAACATACCCCATTACTATATCTCTTCTTCCTGTGCCCCCTAACGTCAAATAAAGTTCATTTTGATCAGAATTCACATACATTTAGGGGGGAAGTGTACATTTATCAGTTTCTTAGATTTGTACCCCATGTTTCATGCAGATGTCCCCTCATTTTATCCTCACAACAACAACCCTGGAAGGTTCCTCAGACTGAGAGAGACTGGCCCAAAATCTCTCAGTGAATTTCCACAGCTAAAAGCAGACTTGAATCTAGGTAGCTATGATCCTAGTCCACCACCTTAATTATCACACCGCACTGATAAAGAAATCAAGAAAATTCTTCTAACTGCACTTGATTGCAAAGTGGGAATGCTTATTTGTTGAAACTGATTTCTTACACATTTTCTATTATATGCAATGTTACATTTTAATGGGAAAAAGAGGAATATAGCTCTCAACTAATTAAAATGTTTTAGCTGATGAATCTTCTGACTTGTTATTAATGAATGAATCAATTAAATTTAATGAAATGTGCATACTGTCAGTCCCAGTTGTTCCCTCTAAGAAAAGCATTTTACTCCCCGCTCTCTGCTTCTTCATTCCCGAATGGTCTGTTTTTCTTCTCCATCTGACATTCCACTTGTTGAGCATGTTCAGTCCCCCCAGGCTGTCAGTGGGAAAACATCAAAGCCTCCACAAATATGCTGATGCCTCTCTCCTGCTGTCTGTGCCCCCATTTTCAGCTAAAGAGACATGGAATTTGGTAGTACCTTCAAGGCTAACTCATTTTATTAGGGCACCTTCAAGACTAACCAACTTTATTAGGGCAAAAGCTTTTATCCTAATAAAGTTGGTTAGTCCTGAAGATGCCATCAGAGTCCACATCCCTTTCATTGCCCTAGACCAGTGTTTTTCAGACTTGGCAACTTTAACTTCAAGTCCACATATCTTAAAATTGCCAAGTTTGAAAAACACTGCCCTAGACTAGCACCATTCTTCCTTCCCCATTTTCAGCTATAGTCTTAGCACCTGAGTTTACTCTTAAAAGGAGTGATTGCATAGTTAATACAGAAGAGCTGATGCTCATTGTTAAAAAGAAAGGTCATCTTTAACTTTTTAAAAAAACCTTTTCATTTCTTATATATGGTGTAGGCTTTCACGGCCAGCGTCAATCAAGCAGTGATGAGCTTTTGAGCTGAATGGCCGCGTTCTAGTTTTCTTGGGTCCTGACATTTTGACGGGAGCTTTGGCTGGCATCTTCAGAGGCAGAGCGAGCTGCTTTGTAGTGTACCTCTCAACAGCTCACAGGCAACTGAACAGGCCTGACTGGCTTTTGTGTTTGTATCTAGCAAGCTGCTTTTATTTCTTATTTCATGGAAAGAGAGAAATTGTTGCAATGGTTTGAAAAGGAAAACTATTCCTCAACTATGGAATTTGAAAATACTTGCACCTTTCTAAAACTTTATTTTTGAGTTTTGCCAAATGTTTGCTAAAATATCTGTCAGCACAGATATTAAGAATCCTTAATATTAGCATGTTGATTTCTTCAGCCAAAAGACATTGCGTGTGTGCATGTGTGTATACACATACACAGACTGTGTGTACAGACTAATATCTGTTCCAGTGTTTCTCAAATTTGGCAACTTTAAGATGTATGGATTTCAACCCCCAGAATTCCCCAACCAGCCTAGATATAATCCTATTTGTTTTCTTAGGGAAATCATAGAAACTCTGTCAGTGGAAAAATCAGAGACAAAATAAACACACACACACATACACACACACACACACACACACACGTTTTCAAATGAAAAGTAATGAAAATATAGAGAAGCAGCTTCTAAACTGAGACTTAGAAACTATCAGAACAGCTAATGAAATTGTTTTACAAGTGAAATAGAGTGTTAGGGAAACTTGTAAAGAAACTACAGTGAAGAATGATGCTAGAATTGTAGAAGGAATAACACGCTCATAAAAAGAGACCATTAAGGTTAACGTGACAATGGTAAATCTTTAATAAGCTGACAGTGCCACCCCAAAATATCTGGCATTGAAATTAAAAGTCCAGGTCTTTTCTTAGATACACAAGTGAAGTTGCTTATAAATTGGTGGCTGTTCTTTTTTTCAACCTACTGTTCCCCTCCTATGGATATACGGATACGCATGAACACATATTCATGTATCACAATCCAATCTAACCACCTTTCTGTTTCTGTAGACACACCCTTTGCATTACAGAGCCAGTCATACCATTAGGGAAAGTGAGATCATCATTTCAGGCAAAATAGCTGAGACACAACAGGAAGAAGCCAGCTGTGTTTGGTTTGCTTAGAGTGCGATTTCTAAGCTAACCTGCTGTTTTTGGAAGTGCCATGCTCAGCTACCAA